GGGGAAGCCAGCTGCGTAGGAGAAAGAACTGCAGGCTTTGGGATTGCTGACACGTCCAGAAGGTTCCGGCACCCCCTCTGCACCTCATTTCACGTGTGCCACAACCAAGCCTCTTCCTTGGACTTAACCACTGCAAGCTGGGGGCAGCCAGGCAGGAGGGACTGAGACTAAATCACAGAGAATGTTCTGCTGGTGTTGCAAGTGAACCAAGGTGGGACGGCCAAGAGCCGGATACACCCTGGCCTCGGCCCTCTCAGGCCGACCAGAGAGCGAGTCCTGGCTCCGGCGGGTGGGTGCTGCAGCTGAACGCACGCAGCGCTGGCTGGCAGGAAAGAACCTCCTAATTGAGACTCTGGGGGAGGCTGGGGAGGGTAGAGGGAGGCCAACATCCCACTGAGGAGCAGAGGAGTGAGCTAGTAACAGCTTCTTGCCGCCAATTCCAAGCATAAAACTTTTATTCCACATCTGGGACGGCTGAGCTACAAACTTCAAAGCAGATGGCCCCCTAGGGCTATGAGAGCCAGCCTAGTGCTGGGACAGTTAGTACAAGAGCCCATGATGACCCAAAGCAAGAGGAGGCACAGAGGCACCCCTGATTCCCAGGGCTAGTCAGAGTGCTGCCCCCAGAAGCAGCTCAGTAATAAGGTCAGCAGGATTTAACTGCAGGTGATTTGAGGACAGGCGCTGGTAGAAGGGTAAAATTAGCTCGCACTTATGGGGTACTTTGTCCATGCCAAAAAGGATGCTGAGGGCTCCCCTCACATTCTTTCTCCCACACAAGCTGCCCGAGAGCCCTAAGAAGTGAGCATTATCATCACCCCCTTTTACAGAGAAAAACACTGAGGAACAAGAGACAAGTAACTTGCTCAGCATCAGAGTTCCTGCAAAGCTCAGGTTCGAACCCCAGAGTCCACACTGTGTCTTCTGTTAAGAAGAAAATGTAGTGTATGTTTTCTAATTGTAAAATCATAACTGTAACTTATGTTTTTAAAATTGTTCTTCTTAGGTGCCATCGAGTCAGTTCCGACTCATAGCAACCCTGTGTACAACAGAAGGAACACTGCCCTGTCCTGCACCATCCTCACAATCGTTGTTATGCCTGAGCCCATTGTTACAGCTACTGTGTCAGTCCATCTCATTGAAGGTCTTCCTCTTTTTCACTGACCCTCTACTTTACCAAGCATGATGTCCTTCTCCAGGGACTGATCCCTCCTGGTAACATGTCCAAAGTATATGAGACGTAGTCTCGCCATCCTTGCTTCTGAGGAGCATTCTGGTTGTACATCTTCCGAGACAAATTTGTTAGTTCTTTTGGCAGTCCATGGTGTACTCAATATTAATCACCAACACCACAATTCAAAGATGTCAGTTCTTTGGTCTTCCTTATTCATTGTCCAGCTTTCCCATGCACATGAGGTGATTGAAAACACCATGGCTTGGGTCAGGCGCACCTTAGTCATCAAGGTGACATCTTTGCTTTTTAACACTTTAAAGAGGTCTTTTGCAGCAGATTTGCCCAGTGCAATGCATCCTTTGATTCCTTGACTGCTGCTTCCATGGGCATTGATTGTGGATCCAAGTGAAATGAAATGCTTGACAATTTCAATCTTTTCTCTGTTTGTCATGATGTTGCTTATTGGTCCAGTTGTGAAGGTTTTTGTTTTCTTTATGTTGAGATGTAATCTATACTGAACGCTGTGGTCTTTGATCTTCATCAGTAAGTGCTTCAAGTCCTTTTCACCTTCAGCAAGCAAGGCTGTGTCATCTGCATAACATACATTGTTAATGAGTCTTCCTCCAATCCTGATGCCCCAGTCTTCTTCATATAGTCCAGCTTCTCGGATCATTTGCTCAGCATACAGATTGAATAAGTATGGTGAAAAGATACAACCCTGATGCACACCTTTCCTAACTTTAAACCATGCAGTATCCATGCACACCTTTCCTGAATTTAAACCACTTTCTGTTCAAATGACTGTCTCTTGATCTGTGTACAGGTTCCTAATGAGCCCAGTTAAGTGTTCTGGAATTCTCATTCTTTGCAATGTTATCCATAATTTGTTATGATCCACACAGTCGAATGCCTTTGCATAATCAATAAAACACAGGTAAACATCTTTCTGGTATTCTCTGCTTTCGGCCGGGATCCATCTGACATCAGCAATGATATCCCTGGTTGCACGTCCTCTTCTGAATCCAGGTTGAGTTTCTGGCAGTTCCCGGTCGATCTACTGCTGCAGCCGCTTTTGAATTTTCTTCAGCAAGATTTTACTTGCATGTGATATTAATGATTTTGTTTGACAATTTCCACATTCAGTTGGATCACCTTTCTTTGGAATAGACATAAATATGGATCTCTTCTAGTCTATTGGCCAGGTAGCTGTCTTCCAAATTTCTTAGCATAGACAAGTGAGCACTTCCAGTGCTGCATCTGTTTGTTGAAACATCTCAACTGATATTATCTCAATTCCTGGAGTCTTGTTTTTCCCCTATGCCTTCAGTGCAGCTTGGACTTCTTCCTTCAGTACCATCGGTTCCTGATCATATACTACCTCCTGAAATGGTTGAATGTCGACTAATTTTTTTTGCTATAGTGACTTGGTGTATTCCTTCCATCTTCTTTTGATGCTTCCTGCGTTGTTTAATATTTTCCCCATAGAATCCTTCACTACTGCAACTCCAGGCTTGAATTTTTTCTTCCATTCTTTCAGCTTGAGAAATGCTGAGTGTGTTCTTCCCTTTTGGTTTTCTAACTCCAGGTCTTTGCACATGTTATTACAATACTTTGCTCTGTCTTCTCGAGCCACCCTTTGAAATCTTCTGTTCAGCTCTTTCGCTTCATCATTTCTTCCTTTTGCTTTAGCTACTTAACTGACGTTCAAGAGCAAGTTTCAGAGTTTCTTCTGACATCCGTTTTGGTCTTTTCTTTCTTTCCTGTCTTTTTAATGACCTCTTGCTTTCTTCATGTATGATGTCATTCCACAACCCATCTGGTCTTCAGTCATTAGTGTTCAGCGCGTCAGATCTATTCTTGAGATTGTCTCCAAAGTCAGGTCAGATATACTCAAGGTTGTAGTTTGGCTCTCGTGAACTTGTTCTAATTTTCTTCGACTTCAACTGGAACTTGCATATGAGCAATTGATGGTCTATTCCGCAGTTGGCCCCTGCCCTTGTTCTGACCGATGATATTGATCTTTTAAAATACAAATAGATAAAAGCTAGTAATACCTCATTATCCCACTACCCACTACATATATATATAAGCCAAAAAAACCAAACCAGTTGCCGTCAAGTTGACTCTGACTCATAGCAACCCTAC